CCCCCCTCCGAGAAAGTAGTGATAGCCTGGAAAGTAGCGAGTGGATCGTCTCATAGTGCGGGATTTGGTTGACAAATGGACATGTCGCTGAGTGCTGGGGTATTAGAGCACAGCTTTCTTGTATGGTGTGGCAGTATCTTGAAAAGAACAGAACTTTGGACCCTTAATACCAAATTGAAGCTTTCGGTTTTATTTGTCAACCTTTTCCGGTACGAAGCTGAAAGTGGTAAATTTTATGAGCAGTTGCTACTGAGCGCAAACCGTGTTTTCCCAGCTGAGATACGAAACAATGTATGTACATAACAGGGTTTACATTTTCTTGCGAAAACTCTAACAAAAGGAAAACAGTTACTCACTCGGCCTATAAAGAAGCGATGTGCATTTGAAAGAAGGTAATGTAAAGAAAGAAAAGGAAAAAGAGAAAATGGAAAAGAATTACAATTTTTAAATTTTTCAGAAATGAAAAATTTTTTTAAAAGTTGGCAAGGAATGTTTTGGTCCATTAAGTCGTATACATTGTGGGAACGATGCATGTGAACTGGAGACAAGCAGAAGGGCTCCTGAAGTTTGTTTATTGATAAAGAATTCATGTCAGGTAGAGGACGAGCAGCCGATTCACGCTGTCTGCTGCTAACTTGTGATGAAGATTTGCGAGAGCGCGAAGAAAGGAATATACTTCGTGAAAAAATTATGGAAGAAGCATTGAGGAGTATTGCGGAAAAGCCACCAACTTGGTTCAGCGAAGAAGTTGGTTTTGCATTCGCACGGGCAATCTTAGCTTTTCACTTCAACGACGTAATTTTCTGATTTTAGGTTTCAAAGCGTGCACAGGAAAATATTAAAGAAAGGGCACAAAAAAATTTGGAGCGTGTTTCGAAAAGCAAAAGTCTTCATTCAAAAAAATATAAATTGCTCTGCAAGTTAGTGCTTTTCGTTAGGAATTTTCATTTCTTATAAAAAAGCAGCCCATCTGACTGATTTGGGAAACCTATTGTCTTAATGAAAGAAAGCAGTTCTGGTCAAAGTACAAATAAACTGATTCTTTTTGCTTATTTTACGCATAACTTCTTTTTTTGCTTATTTTACGCAATTTTGAAGATCTGGTATGTTTCATCTTTCAGAAAATGTGATACACTTATCTGCACAAGTGACGATATTGCTATGACTTGTATCGGTCCGCAGTATCTGTGCGTCTGCGAAGAGATTTGGGAGCGTTCGAGACAGTATCCATATTCGCAGGCGAGGGCTAAAGCCGAAGAAAACTTCCAATTGAAGGGATTTGGCACTGTAATTTTTAACAAATATGCTTCCTCTTGAAGTATGAGAAGCTCGATCGGTCTTTTCTAAACTCTTTTAGAGAACTCATTCATTCATTCATTCATTGCCTGATCTTCACAGCTCCAGTCATTCTTGTCTTTTGTTCTTTTTGACACTTTTATACCTTCGTACAGTCATTTTTCATAGAAAAATTTAAAAAAAAAAAAAATTTGATACTTTTCTGTATTTTAATATTTGTTTCAGCTCATTTGTGCAGAGTCAAACTGCGGTCATCGTTGGGGCCGTATTGTTCGTTGTAATGACCTTATCTTACCGCTCATTGCTGCCGACGGTAGAGTTTTTATGCGTCTTGTGCTGTGCAACAGTTGCACAAAACGCATATTGTCACAGGGTTGTGTGTGTATGTGTTTGTGTGTGTGTGTGTTTGTGTGTGCGTGTGTGTGCGTGTGTGTGCGTGTGTGTGCGCGCGTGTGTGTGTGCGTGTGTGTGTGTGTGTGTTCGATGCATCTCGTTCGCAGCTTTCAACTCGGGAGCCAAAAAAGCTAGGAAGCTGAAAATTTAAAGGAATATTCCCCTCTCACGTGTGACCCCGCAAATTTAAATTCAGCCTTCCCGTGACCGCGGGTAACACCTACAGCCCTGTGAAAGTTTTTGCGGGGAAAAGTATTGTCACGGGAACCGCGGAAGTGGGGAATCTAAAATTTTAAGTTGATGTTCCCTATCGGCGCACGACCTCGCAGATTTAGATTCAGCCTTCACGTACCTCTGGGTACAACATGCGGCCCCGTGAGAGTTTTGGCACGGAAAATTATTATCTCGGGAGCCAGAAGAGGCTAGGAGGCTCAAAATTTCTTGATGGTGTTTTCTGCCTAAGCAGGGGCTTCACAAACTCAAATTCAGTTTCTAATTATGTCGAGATCTCACATATGACTATGCGAAAGTTTTGTCTAAAAAATCATCCGAAAGCTTAAAAATTAAGAAACTGAAATTGTGAAAGGATATTTTACCCTCCAAGATTTCAAGTTGAGCTTTTACGTACCGATGCGTAAAATTTTTAATAAGAAATTCTGCAACTTAGGAGCCAGGCAACATTTCAACTATTTTTGCACAGTTGCCAAAGTTCAAAACAACGAAAATGCTTCGCAGGCAAGCGTTCGCTGGATGGAACTGCGCAAAACGCGTAATCGCATCGGTTATTTATAGTGCGCGTTGCTATTTATTGTATTTTTTACTAGTACATTAATTATGATAGAAGTGCCGAATGGCTTCAACTGAGTGAGGATTTGAGTGGATGAACGAACGATTGATATTTTGTTATCCTCTTTTTTGTGTTCGATTACGCGAACGAATTTACTCACCAAATAAGTCATGAAATATTTTTGCAGCATTTGTATTGGTGTCAGAAGGTGGCCAGAGATTTCAGCGTCGTCAGTGGAAACAGGTATCTCGCAAAACCTTCAATTTTTTAATCCTTGATTTCGACTGGATGCCCAGATTTCTCTTATATCTCAGTTTTTAGGTGGGGATAGGGACTGAACTGTGACTGTGCTGTTCAGCCGACAGTTTCGAGTTTTTAGACTTTAAATGCCATTGCTTGTTACCATATGTAGGAATTATCAAACCTGCTTGCTATTGGAGAAACATTTTTTAATGAATTTTATCATATGTTTGCGTGGACCGTTACTTGGGCTCTTTATATTTTTGAGATGTATATCCATGT